GCACGGACTCTGCCGGAGCGTTCTCAGGCACGGACTCTGCCGGAGCAGCCTGACGGCCAAGGAGCTGCTCTGGTTGTGTACTCTGAGGGGGAAGAAGAAACTCTTCCAGAACAGGCCCGAACTCCGGCCGTGAAGAGGCGGCTCTCCTTCGACAGTCTCTCGAGCTCTGGCTCGAAACAAAAGTCTCTGAGAAGTTTCTGGGGCTCTGCAGAAGACCGAGCCGCTCGCTCTGCCGAGTCTGTTCCTGTGAAGGCGACTCTTCGGAACAGGCACTCTGAGGCTTACGAGCGACTGCGAGCTCTCGCTCGGGAGTACCAGGACGCTCTCTCTGACAGGGATGAAGCTGTGGTGCAGAAGAGCTTCAACAAAGGCGGTCGGCCTCTTGGCTCTGGCACAGCTCCCTCTTCCAGCAACAGGCGAGTACGTGGCCAGGTCTCTGCAAGAAGAGAGCTGACCGCCTACGAGAAGCTGCTCCTCTGCCAGGAGGCGGGCTCTCGCTCGCCCGAAGTCTCTGAGCAGAAGCACTGGAAGCAACTCTCGGAAAAGTACGGCCTCCCTGTGCAGACTCTCAAGGAGTACTCTGGCAAGAAGGCCGTCTGGGAGGCTCTCGTGGAGAAGCACAAGCTCCACCCGAAGAGCAGAGCCTCTCGCAAGGCCAAGCGCTCTTGTCGCTACATGCGGCAAAAGGGCGGCGGTCGCAAGGCGGACTTTCCCGACCTCTTGCCCGCTCTGAAGCAGTGGCATGCGACTGAAAGGCAACACGGCCACTCTGTCTCCAAGCAGGACTTCTTTGCGGAGTACTTGACTCTCTTGGTGCAGAAAAGCCAGGCTCTGCTTCGAAAGGCCGAACTCTTGCCTCACGAAGACCCTGAGAAGCACTCTCTGCAGAAGCTGGCCAAGCTTGCTCTGGACAGGAAGCGCAAACTCTTGGCCTCAAAGAAGTACCGGCTCTCTTTGACGGACCGCCTGGTGACGGACTCTGGTGCGAAGTTCTTGGTGGCGGAGCAGGTGACGCACCTCTCTCCCACCGAGGAGAAGGTACGCTCTCAGCTGACCTTCCAGGCCTGTGATCGGGCCCTCTGGGCCATGACGTGTGCCTCTGAGGAGGCTCTGGCCTCTGAAAAGCTCGTGGCCGACCCTGCCTCTGTCCTGAACTCTCGCAAAGACTTTGTGCTCGGCATGAGCGACCAGGTGCCGCTCTGGGCCAAAGCTCAGCCGAAGAAGCTTCTCTTCAGCGAAGATGAGCTCTTGCAAGTTCATCCTGGCAGCGGAGACTCTCTTCGCCAGGAGCTTCAGGCTGCCCGAACAGCTCTGGAGGAAAGTCTGGGCGAAGACGGACCTCTCCAGGTCTTGGGAGACATGGACGAGCAGCCTTCCGACTCTAAGCTCAAGCCCGGCTCTAAGGTCAAGCGAGCACACTCTGAGGCGGACAAGTTCCGCATCACCTATGAGGCCCGGCAGAAGATCCACGGCCTCTGCGGTGATGGCACTCCCTCTGCTGAGGTGTCCGCTGGTCTCTTGGTGTTCCCGGGGAAGCACTGCCGCCTCTCGAACTTGGACTCTGAAGGCCGGTACATCTCCATGGAGCGGTACCGTGTGGGGAACTCTGAGGTTGTGCACCTCTCTGGCGAGAAATGCCGGTCTCTTCAGTGGGCTGTGAAACTGCGGGCTCTCTACCCGCAGGAGTTCTCTGAGATCGACATAATGCAGCAACCTGCCTCTAACATGGACGGTGTGCTCTTGAACTGGGTGGTGCAGCAGCAGGGCTCTGAAGAACCTTGCTCGCTCTACATCCGAGACTCTTTCGCGGCCATCTTCTCCTCTGAAGTCCAGCAGACTCAGCAGGTCGTGAACCAGGCCTCTGTCGAGATTCTCGGAAAGCTCACTCACTATCTCCAGGTGACGGACACCGACTTTGCTCGCTCTTTCAAGTCACTCTTCCGAGAAGCCTTGACCGAGCAACGGACCCTCTGGAGAGAGAAGAACAAGGGTCTCTTCCAGGCCGCTCTTACTTAGGACCTAATAATAAACTAAATGAAAACAATTGGAATCTCTCCCTTCGCTGGCAGGTGACTTACGAGCACATAGTCCTCTGCACCGTCGCTGCCCAACGTGCTCTGCAGAAGCGGCAGGCCGAGAAGGACTTCGTGCTCTCTGCCACCGTCCGCAACGGACTCTTGGTGTACCGCCCCTGCAACGGAGCTCTCGTGAAAATCTGCGACCAGGCCTGGGCCAAGGAGCTGTCTCTGGGAGTGGGAACAAAACGAATCCCAGAGAGTTGGCTCTCCGACCGGTACAAGTGGCTCTCCAAAGACGGTGTTCCGCAGCCTCCGGACTTCAAGCTCTCTTCCAACATCAAGGCCGTCTCGGACTTGATCCAGTGGAGCTATGACTCTCCGGCTCCTGCGGAAGATGGCGCCGATGACTCTCTGGACGTCCCGGACAGCATCCAGGAGGAGCTTCTCTTGCCGCTGAACAACAGCCTCTTCCTCAGGCTGTCCCCGGCTCTCCGTCGGAAACATCTGCGGCTGGAGGCCACCTCTGCAGACTACAAAGCTCTTCTGGAGAAGACGAAAGAGAAGGCTGCGGAGCGCCAGAACAGGGCTCTGGTCAGGAGGGTTCTGCGATCCAAGCTTCTCTCTGCTCTCGGTAAGAAGCTGAAGGAACGCAGCAAGAAAGAGGTCCTCTCCGGCATCGTGCCTCGAGCAACCACCTCTAAGGCGAAGAAGGTGGCCGCCTCTACCGTCAAGGACTCGGAGAAGGCCTCTGCCAAGGCCTCTGCCAAGAAGGTGCCGAAGCTCTCCGCGGTGACGAAGCCCTCTGTGACGACGAAGCCCAGCCTCAAGCTGAAAGCCTCTGCCGCGAAGAAAAAGAAGAAGAAGCACTCTAAGAAGAAAGCAGCGGAGGCTCTCGCCGACAAGATGGTCGCAAAAGCCAAGAACGGCGAGGAGACCTCTGGCGAGGTGGATGCAAGCTCTTGGCCGCTGCCTCTGAACACCACGGTGCGAGTGGTCTCTGAAGAGGCTGGGGCGCTCTTCTTCGGCAGAGAAGGGGACGTGAAGGGCTTCTCTGACGGCAAGCTGCACCTCTTTTCTGCCTACGGGAGCTTCTCTGTCCCTGCCTCTCTCGTGCAGGCAAAGAACTCTGGCTGGGCCTCTCCAAGGCACTGGAAGGGCTTCAACTCTATGACCCGCGAGACTCTACGATCCATTCTGAGAGTTAGCGGTGCTCTTCAGATGCCTCTACAAGAGAGGTCTTTCGACCACGTCCTCCTCAAGGTCCCGACCTCTTTCAGTGTTCTCTTGGAAGAACAGCACTTGCTCTGGGGCTGGGAGCTGCTCTCCTGGACGTGGCCTCTCGAGACGAAGGAGTTCGCTCTTCTCGAGCCCGCTCTGCTCTACCAGCTCGAGGTTGTGAGTGCAGGCTCTGACTGGCCGCACAAGGCTCTCGAGCAAGTCTTGGCTGGAAAGTGCCGCCTGCTCTGCCCCATCTGGTCTCTGGGCCCCAACCACTGGACGCTCTTGGAAGGGGAGAGGTCCTCTCTAGATGAGCCCTCTTCTCTCACTTACAGAGACTCTTTGCACCCACCCTCTGAGAATGCTTTGAAGCAGGCCAGGACTGTGGCTGCTCTGCTGGGGGTGCTCGACCCTGCTCTCCCGCCTGTGAACAACACTTTTCAAGCTTCGTCCGAGTGCGGGTGGTTCGTGCTCTCTTGGATGGAATCGATCGTTGCAAGCCTCTCCGAGGGACCTGCCTCTCGAATGTGGCCGGCTGAGCTCTGCAAGGTCTGGCAGAAGCAGCGGCTTCTGCCTCTTGAGAAAGCTCTGCAGAAGGAGACTCTGCTGGGGTGGGGAGGGTTCTCTGTGATAGTTAGGGTTTAAAGCTCTGCTGCCAGGAGAGCGACAAGCTCTCCGAGGAAAGCAAGGCCTCTCAGCAGAAGGCTCTGAAGCTCTCCAAAGCGCTGGAGGCCTCTCAGGCCAAGGCTGCCAAGGCTCTCGCAGCCTCTGCGAAGCTCAAGGCCTCTGCAAAGGCTGCAGCGAAAAAGACTCTCGAAGAGAACAACAGCCTCTTCCGGTGGAGCGATCTCTCCAAGGAAGCTGTCTCTGAGATCCGGCACCTCTACCTCTTCGGCCTGCAGAGGTGCTCTCGCTGCCGCTGGCAGGGGGGCTGCCTCTCTTGTGATCATGATTTTCTCTTCAAGTATCTCATGCGCAAAGAGGCTCTCAAGCGGAGCAAGGTGCCTCTCTTGACAGGACCAGGGAGCTCTTCAAAGCTGTAAACCCTTAAGTCTGGCTGGCTGGCTATCTCTCTGTCCTTTATCTTGCCTGTTTCTGTCTCTCCTCTTCCAGGGCGTCAGTTTGTAGTAGGAGTGCTTCTCTACTTAAACCTTAAAAATTTTAGGACGGGACGGGTTTTAGGACTATTGAGGGGTCTTTATTATTGTGTGCGGGCCGAGTTTAGCTCTATTGAGGGGACCTTTTATTATTGTGTGCCGGGCCGAGTTTAGCTCTATTGAGGGGACCTTTAATAATCACGAGCTCACATTAGTCGAGGTCGGTGATCTCGATGGTACTCTCGTATCCCCCGATCTCGAAGAGAGATACTGCCCGAGAGGATACTCTGACAGGTAGAAGCCGCCGCCGTACACCATGCCGTCAGTGCCGCCAAGTTGGTGGCCTTCTTCCAAAGGCCTCTCCTGACGCTTTTGGGAGGCCGGTATAGGACTTCCCCTTCGCGCTTCTCCCGGGTTCTTCCTGGGGCTCATGGATGGGGATTCCACGCAGAGCAAAGCCAAGTTCTCGTAGCTCGTCCCTCATCTCCACAGTGGTGGTGTAGCACGACAGAGCCCACCTCTCACTTTCTCAGGGTTGCGTTGCATGGGGTGCCTTCCCGTCGAAGCTGAGGATCTTCTCCTTGGTGTTCACGATGTAGCCGGGTAGTTGTTCTCCATCGGGTCCTTCTCGCGCCACGGCCTTTCCTTCTCTTCCATCAGGTGGTTCTCACCGAATCCACAATTCTCCTCCTGTGATCTCGCCGAAGCTCACCGTCTTGATCTGAGTGCCGGCCATGTTGTGAGTGTCGGTGTGGCACTCAGTCGCCGTGTTGCGGAAGATCGCGAAGGAAGTCCATTCTCCGACACCCTGCGCCCGAACAAAGGAATTGACGTACTTGATCGTCCACGGCAGCTCTCGGGCAGTCTTGGTCACGCCGACGAAGGGTCCATGGGTGTACATCCCGGCAATGAAGTAGTGAAAAGCCTGCCAGCCTCCGCAGCTTCCGGAGAGGTAGAAGACGAGGTCGTGGTAGTCGAAAGCCTTGTTCTTCAACTTACTCCGGGCACATTCTTCACATGACTCCACTTTCTCCTCGTAACACTCGAAGTACACCTCGTCGTAGTCCTCGTACAACCCCTCCTGCCCTCCAAAGGTCACCGTCTTCAATTCCTGCTTGGGGAGGTCCTCCGACGGATTGTCGTGTGAGGCAACCTCTGTGCGGTAGCTCTCCGGAGTCTCCTGGAACATCTTGCCCCGAAAGTGCCCGAAGTTGAGGATCGTCTTGGCTCCCATACCCTCCTGGTCGCGGAGGATGCGCAGGATCGTGCCCTTGGCGTACGGCGGGAGGTGCATGGTACCCCTTCTCCATGCTTCAACTGCTCGAGGGTCATCTTGCTCATTCCCGCATCTGCAAGATGGTTGCCCGAGGGACACTTGCCGTCTTCCTGGATCAGCGACCGGATTTCCGTCACCGTCCACGATGGATGGAACCACAGATTGCGTGCGGTGGCCTCCGTGATCAACTCCGCCTTCGTGAACTCGGAGAGGGTCTTCGCTCGCGTCACCACGGGGGCCGTCAACAGGTCGGACCTGAGAGCCAACGCGAGGATCCAAGATGCACGAAGAGGGGGCGGGCATCAGCTTTCGTCTACGAAAGAAGTTCTGCCAACCCAATGCAAAGCATCGGCAAGAGCGAATCATCACTGTCGTTCTCCCACATGCTGTGAGTAGCTGGGAATTCCCGCAAAGTCTTACATGAGATCGCGTGCACCGTGCGCACAGCTCCAAGACTTCGAAGAAGAGTGTGTTTACGAGACACAGCGTTGTTTTCCAATGGACGGGACTAAAGAACGATCTTGTGGGAACTACATGAACACGTACGAGTATAATTCTTCATTCTCGACCCAGAAGTCGTTGGAGATCTTTGTTGAGGACCACAATGATGCGAAGGTTTCGGGTTGAACTTGTCATCGAGAAGGTGGTTCTCTGCAGCGCTCCCGATCTTCTTAGGATAGAACATATGCTCAAAGCTGGGTTCTTTACCTGACTGGTCTTAGATTCCTGAGAGTCTGGTGTTTGGCCCACGGACTGGTCGGAATCTTGTGAACTCACCATCAAGCTAGTAGAGCGACCAATGACCCCACCGTCAACTTCACCTCCTGAAACAACGTGACCTTGTATCATCAGCCATGCCGGCGATGCAGTACACTCACGGGATCCATGTAAAGTTTACTTTTCGTGCATTTCGCGCAATCGTTGTGATACGATTCTCGTGCTGCCCTGATTCCTTCTCCCGGTATTTCTTTAGGGGAGGCGAGAACACGCCTGTGCAGTTCCACCTTAGCTTGTCGGATTCAGAACGCAGGCGGGAGGCGGGTTCTGTGGGTTCTGTGGAGTTCCCCCTTATAGCTAGACGGATTCAGAACGCAGGCGGAACAAGCCCATGTGGAGTTCCCCCTTATGACGGATTCAGAACGCAGGCGCGACGCGCTGTTTCTGTGGAGTTTCGCACGCCTCCTGTGGAGTTCCGACGGATTCAGAAGGCAGGCGGAAGACGCGACGCGGGTTCTGTGGAGTTTCACACGCCTTTGGAGTTCCCCCTTAGCTTGACGGATTCAGAACGCGGTTCAGAACGCAGTTGGAACACGCAGTCGCGACGCGCGTTCTATCATGGAGTTTCCCCTTAACAGCGCTGCGCGACACGCCTCGCGTCACGGATTCAGAACGCAGTCGGGAAACCGGTTCTGTGGAGTTCTTCCCGTAGCTTGACGGATTCAGAACGCAGGCGGGACGCGGGTTCTGTGGAGTCCCCCCTTTGACGGATTCAGAACGCAGGCGGGACGCGGGTTCTGTGGAGTTTCTTTCTCCTTAGCTTGACGGATTCAGAACGCAGTCGGGACGCGCGTTCTGTGGAGTTTCCCCTTATAGCTTGGCGGATGCAGAACGCAGTCGGGACGCGCGTTCTGTGGAGTTTCCCCTTATAACAGCGCTGCGCGACACACCTCGCGTCACACGCGGGCGCTTCGCGAACGCTTGCGGACGCATTGCGAACGCTTTGCGAACGTTTTAACAACGATCGCGGGTCACCTGCTGGACCCCTAATCCCTGTTCAAAGCAACTGACCTTCCGTTCGTTGGTATCTAACCTTCTGACCTTTTCGTTTTGGGAGCATTAAGGGGCTTTGAAAGCAGGATTTAAAGTGAGCATTGAAGACCATGAACAGTGAACAGTGGACAGCAACAGCAGCAAATGCAGGAGCAGCAGCAGCCGGAACAGATTGCAACTTGGAATGGGGGTGGGGCAGGGAAAGCTCATCAACGATGTCATGAATATATTGTTGCCAGAGGGAATATACACGACACTGTTCTCTGTAGTAGTAGTAGTAGTAGTAGCAGCAGCAGCAGGAGTAGTAGTAGTGGTAGTACCAGCAGCAGCAGGAGTAGTAGCAGCAGCAGCAGGAGTAGTAGCAGTAGTAGTAGTAGTAGTAGTAGTAGAGTGGTAGTAGTGGTAGGTGGTAGTTGTGGTCGTCATGGTAGTTGTAGCGGTAGTGGTAGTGGTAGTGAAAATGGTAGTGGTAGTAGTACAGTATAAAGTGGTAGTAGTAGTAGTCGTAGTACTAGTAATAGTCGCAGTAACGACACTGTCCCCTGTCCAATGTGCATGTGCTCGCGCGCGCTGTTGACTGTGCTCGCCCACGCTGCGCGCGCACTGCGCGCACACTGCGCGCACACTGCGCGCACACTGCGCGCACACTGCGCGCACGCTGTTGCCTGTGCTCGCACACACTGCGCGCGCTGTTGCCTGTGCTCACCCACGCTGCGCGCGCACTGTTGCATGTGCTCGCACCCGCTGCGCGCGCACTGCGCGCGCACTGCGCGCGCGCTGTTGCCTGTGCTCGCACCCGCTGCGCGCGCACTGCGCGCGCACTGCGCGCGCGCTGTTGCCTGTGCTCGCACACACTGCGCACGCTGTTGCCTGTGCTCGCCCACGCTGCGCACACACTGCGCGCGCACTGCGCGCGCACCGTTGCCTGCTCACCCAAGCTGCGCGCGCACTGCGCGCACACTGTGCGCGCACTGCGCGCGCACTGTTGCATGTGCTCGCACACACTGCGCGGACTGTTGCCTGTGCTCACCCACGCTGCGCGCGCACTGCGCGCGCACTGTTGCCTGTGCTCACCCACGCTGCGCGCGCACTGCGCGCGCACTGCGCGCGCGCTGTTGCCTGTGCTCGCCCACGCTGCGCGCGCACTGCGCCCGCACTGCGCGCGCGCTGTTGCCTGTGCTCACCCACGCTGCGCGCGCACTGCGCGCGCACTGTTGCCTGTGCTCGCCCACGCTGCGCGCGCACTGCGCACACACTGCGCGCGCACTGTTGCATGTGCTCGCACCCGCTGCGCGCGCACTGCGCGCGCACTGTTGCATGTGCTCGCACGCGCTATTGCCTGTGCTCGCACACGCTGCGCGCGCGCTGTTGCCTAATGCGCGCGCGCTGTTGCACTACCACTACCACCACTATCACTACTACTGCCACTACCGCTACCACTACCACTACCACCACCACCACTACTACTACTACCACTACTACCACTACTACTACTGCCACACTGCTGCTGCTTCTGCCACTACTACCACTACCACTACTGCTGCTGCTGCTACTACTGCCACTACAACTGCTAGTATTACTATTACTACTAGTACTACTATTACTACCTATAATACTACCACTGCTTCTGGCAGTACTACCACCACTGCCACTTCGCTGCTACTGCTGCTGCTACTGCTGCGGCTGCTGCTGCTGACAATGGACAGTGGACAGTGTGTGTGACAGCGTCTGAGCTTGTCGAGGTAGGACAGCAGCACCTGCACAACAGCACACTCCTAGCTTAGCCTTCACCCCCTAGAATCCCTCAGTTTCACCCCTGGCAAGCCCCGAATCCCTCCGCAAGCCCCGAATCCCTCCCCCACAATTAAAAAGGTCGCGAATTAACCGACACCTCCTCCGGTTAATTCGCCTTTCCCCACCTTTTGCCCTGCCTTGGCACGATACCCTTTTAGACCTAATAACTGTCCACTGTCCCCTGTCTACTGTCCACTGTTTGTTAGCACTGCCAGCCGTGACTGGAGACTTGCAGGCCGGCTGGGCACGTTTACTAATACAGAGTTTCATGTGCAGAAAATAGGCTTTTCAGGGTTAGCTTTCTGGGGGTATGTTTCAATGTGGAGGATTCAGAGGTTTTGTGGGTTGGACGAAATCTTTCATTGTCTTAAGCTTGTGCCCTGATCAGCACTTGTTACCAGTATGCTCATGTCCATCAGCAACAACATCACAGCTGCCCACACCCTCGACACTAACACCATAAATTGAACCGCCTGGTGTGACAGGTGAGGGGGGGGGGGGGCGGGGCGGTCGATTAATGTACCCTAGGGGTAATCATTGAGATCATTCAGGCTTCCAGCTTACTCTGCAAGTGTGCTGTTGCTTTGAAGTTACATGTATCAGGGCTTCCTTTGTGCTTTTTAGCTGAAAGGTTACTGCATTGAGTAGGTTATTCAAATCATTTCAACCGCTATCAAAATGGCGGCTACTACTCCAAATCCAGCCACAAGTGCTGGCCGCCAACAACATCATCATTGAATGCTTGGTTGTGTGTGATCTGCTTCGAGGAATGATGATTGGATAACTTCATGTCGCGTCAAACATAACCGTGTTACTTGAGTGCTTTGTTTTGTTCCAGAGATGTCTTCATGCGAAGTAACGGTGCCCTGATTCATTGATTCGCATCCCTAGAGTAGATAGAATGCTTTCTGTGAAACCCAATATACTACCACCTGCTCGCGCGCCCATTTCACTGTTCACTGTTTGCTGTGCATTGTCCACTGTACTGTAGCCAGTTGCATTGACTGCGGGCTTGCTTGGCACATTTGCAGGGATAGCCTAACTCAGGTTGCATCGCCAGCACTCTGCATGGGCCCAACCCACCACAAACTTGCAGGGGCCCTTGCGGACCAGCCAACTGCAAGGGGCAGGTTAGGCCAACCAAATGCAGGGGCAATGCACCTCAACACAGGAATTCAGAATATGTTTGGGTGTTGTGAATGTTGTGAATCACGAGTAGTTGCCATCCCTATGAGGTGAGACTTCATGGGCCTGACTGTGCTGCCCAAGCTTTTTTGCCTGCCTTGCGCTTCTTATGTCGCCAGGCATTCCTGCTCGCGTGGGACTTCACAGTGTCCTGGGAGCTTGGCATCTCGGCTGAGGCCGTGGAGTCGGGGCCTTTTGTAACAGTAGACAGTGGACAGTGCACAGGGGACACGGTCGTAGTAGTAGTAGTAGTAGTAGTCGTACTAGCACTTGGCGAAGGAGGCGCGATAGGTTCTGGGTCTTGCTTTGGTGACATGGCTTCTGGATCATCGCTCGGCATAGCAAAGCATACTGCAACTGATGCATGCTGAAGGGCCTCCGCCACGTCTTCCTCGTTTGCATGGCAGTAGTGCCGCCTGAAGGTTCCCACGTCGAGCCGCTGCTGGATTTCCATGATGACATGCTCAGAGGCGCGTTGACCGCCCTCTGGGGTTGCAAGCAACAAGGCAGATGCAGTGTGTCTAGTAGCTCCATGCACTGTCACATGTGAGCCTTTGAATTTCACATTCCAACGTCTGCGGCCGGTGAGTGCAAACATCACTTTCGCGACATGGGTCACTGCTTTCCACACTGTTT